AACTCATTTATTAATACTAATGGCAACATTCACTTACTAAAATGTTGCCAAAAGACCCTTTTAGCAACAGTTGTCAACAAATGTTGCCTTTTTAATGTTGCAAATGACTATTTTTGTTGTAGTGATCTTTACTTAAATCATCTATTTGTTCCTTTTTTAAAAAAAAATAATAATTGTATTTGTTTCTAAACATTCTTGGATAGACATTCATTTTGTAGTAAATATTTTATTTCAACTCTTTGACGTTCTAGTATTGATTATACTCTATAATTCATATCATTTAGATGGTACTATCAATACAAGAAACATAATATTTAGCCAAAAAAATAATATTGGTACAAAATAATTGACCGCTAGCATCAGGGGTACATATGCATGATATCACGAATAAATTCTCATAAAGTAACAAAAAAATAGAAAAGAAAGAAAGAGTGCTAGTGAGTGATCGCTAGGGGGTTGAGGTTGAGGTTGAGGTTGAGGTTGAGGTCGGGGATGGGGATGGGGATGGGGATGGGGATGGGGGATGCATTGAGCATTTAGCGATGGTCCCATGATGTGCAGATTTTTTATTAGTTTATTTTATTGTGTGGAAAGGTACGATAATTAATTATTATAATATTATTGTGTTTGTTAGCGTTTCATTATATTATATCAAAGGTTAAAATTAAATTTTAATTTAATCGCACATTACATACGATCCACAATTGCTATCTATTTATCTACCACTCATATATAACACATTACAATTTCAGTGACTTAAAATGAAACACAAACAAGCACTAATTTAAAGTCAATGTCAAATATTAATTTTAATTATACATTCATAACTACTATCCATTTATTATTTATTGGGCAAATTGTTGTTAAACGACTTCCCAGACTATGATATAACTCGGTATATTTTCTCAGTCGGCATAAACCAAATGACTGAACGAAAATTGACACTTCAATGTAATGACCCGACCCTAACCCGACCCTAGAACTATTTGGGTCATTGGAAGCAACGTAATTTAATTAGCACTGCTCATGACTCGTTTCCACTTATCTGGATAGCTCATGAACATTGGTCCACTTATCCACCATATTAGGCTGGCCCCGTTATTGTACCATAATGTCGTATATTAGTTGGTTGTCTTCCTTGGCTGATATGCATGCATTTGCTCCCTCTGCCTTTGAAAAATGATAAGTGTAGTTTCTACACTTATTCGATATCCTAAATGATGATATTTTATTGTTCTTTGAATAAAATACTACCTAACTTGTGTTATTTTTCATTTTGTAGGTAAAACTCAATGTTTGATGAAGAATTGGAGAAAAGAATGCAAAGATAGCAGAAAATTGCTCAATTGTATCAAATACAAAGTTTAGGGACTGAAATGTAAATACTCAAAAGTTATGTCAAACCCCGCGATGAAGATTTAAGGGTGTTAAGCATTAATTGGATGAGGAAAGAAGCCAAATGAATGAAATATAGTTCAAGTATTATCACATACCTCGCGATAAAGATTTGAGAGTG